ATACTCAAATCAACTACAAAGCATCTATGGAGGAAGATGCTATCCACCTCCAGAGAAAGAATTGATAATAGAAGTATGAAGAGTATGGTCTTATCTATACTTACATTCCTGTATCATATGGTAGCCTTTTCTAGTGTGAGGTGGGAAGAGAGGGAGGAAGACAGTTGGGAACTTAAAATGTAACAAAAAATGAATTAAATTAAATTTTAAAAAAATAATTCAGGGTGGTGCTAGGTGAGAAGCACAAAAATAGTCCACTTGATTAGGCCAAGTGGTGCCCACGGGTTAAAGCAACCCTTGTATAGGAGCATGACAGTTCTGGGATGGGAGTGGGTATAATTCAGACTGAGTAATGAGTAATTGTGTAATTCAGGAAGCCTGTAAGATGTTGTAAATGTTTATTTAGATAGGCATGATCTGCTTTCAATTTGACGGTGTCATTCTATAGACAAGCAGATCTGTATGCATGGTAGTGATAATAACATTCTCCAAAAATGAAAGATGAATTGGGGTCCCTGATTTATATGAGACCTTTGAGGAGGCCAAAAGACAGTATGTTCTAGACCAGTGGCATCAAACTCAAATAGAAGGGAATCCCTGCAGCTGCATATTGACTTAGAAAAACCACAAATTCACATTATTCATGTTGTACCTTATTTTTATTTATTTTGTTAAACATTTCCCAATTACATTTTATTCTGGTTCAGGTAGAACTCGGGAGTTTTACAGCCTAAGCACCAGTGTGACACCTTTGATCTAGATGATCTATGTACCTGAAGGGTGTTTATTCTGTGCAGGCATAAAAATTTGATGCTTTGTGGCACCTACAAATCTGATAAGCACACATCTATATCTTTATCCAAGTTACCAAAGAAAATGATTAAAAAGGCACACATTGCAATCACCACATCTGAAAGGAGCACTTAAAAACTTGGGGAGTAACTGGATCCTGCTGCTTGCAGGTAGGCTTCAGTGAAACCAGTGGTGGTGATGAGTAAGAGGCTCACAGTGAAAGGAAGTCTCAAGTCTGGTCTTGCCCCATTAGAGCTGTATGCAATGCAGGGAGACTGTTTTCTTGCAGACAAGGAAAAGTTTGGCAGCATTCCCCTCTGTGGTGGTGAGCACTGTGCCCAGCAGAGAGGATTTTCCTTGGTAAGGGGTTTTGGCCTTGCCTGAGAACAATGGCTAACACTGCCCAAAAGGAGCCACATGGAACCAGAGAAGGCAAAGCAACAACTAGGAAGTACTACCTGCTAAGGACCGTATGGCACTGCCATCAGGACCATGTGGAAAGAAATATCTGCTGAGACACTAACATACACACTTTCTGGGAAAGAACCAGAGGAGTGGGGAGCCAGTCACTTAGAGAACAATGCCTGATACAGACTGTTGGGAGTAATTGATAAGGGAAGCCTTGCCTACTGACACATATTGGAAGCAGAATCTTATTCAGGATTGTGACTGAGATGCTCTCTGGATCTTTGGGATAGAGCTGCTCATCAAATAGTATCAGTTTGACTTCTATTTTTTCTTTTAGTAGAACCTCCTTTCCTTAATTTTGCGATCTGCATGCTTGCAAAGGGAGTTGACATTAGCAGACAGGGTAGTATCAGGTAATGACTGAGTTTCTGGATGGGGCCTGAGTCAGAGAAGCAAGAAACACCTCAAAGGGAATCTGGATCCTGAGTGTTGTTAGAAACTCTGACAAAATTGCTACAACTTAAATTCCTTTCATTCTTGAAAGACAAAAGAATCTTGTTACCTTGGTCACAAATTGCTGAAAACAGGAATCAAAGGGATAGGATTTAAGAATTTTCATGGTATTGAGGTGCTTTGAGGTATAAATGGTCCCATCAAACCTAAGCTGGACCTCAGAAGACTGCCTCTTCTGCTGTCTCATCCTGGAACTTCTCTCAAGCCCTGCAGGGCTACCACTCCTGGGACTGGTTCATCCTGGAATATCCCTCTACATAGCCCAAGCCCCTTTTCCTATTGCTGAGTCATTCCTGAAGCCTCCATTTTGTGGAGGGCCCTAGCCCAGCTCCAGAATTTCTGGACTTTACCTCATCTTCCCCTTGCCCCCTTTTTGTATGCTGACTTACTGCATTTGGACATAAGCTTCTGGAGGGCAAGACTTCTTTTCTTATTGCTTGTAGACTGGGCACAGAGTGAGCCTTAATAGATGCTTTTTTCTTCCTTCCTTTTTGCATTCTCTACAAAGTTCTCCTCTTCCACAAACATAGCGTAAGTGGTTGGTAACAGAATGTGAGTTACATGCCCAGGGATCAGGCATCTGTCATCTAAAATTTTTATCTCCCCCCAGCTAATTGCTGCCTGACACACAGTAGGTACTTAATAAACACTTGCTTATTTCACATTATGGTTTTTTTTCCCTGTGGCATTTAATTCTTCCCTATGCATATGGTTTACATTTCCACCTCTGTACCTGCTGACTTATCATTGCTCCCTATCAAGAGTAACCTTTCTGATTAACTTTATTTGTGATTCCCAACCTTACTTCCAAGCTCAACCCAAATTCCACCTTTTCTATGAATCCTTAAAGACCTATCCATCTTACCTTAAAAAGGGTATGGGGGTAAGAGAGAAGAGGAGCATTAATTGAGGAAGTAAAAGGACAAAGAAACCCCGTCTCTATCCTGGAGATAAACCCTTAGGAGTCATAGTTTTAGATCAGTAAGGAAACATTTATCTAAAAGGAAATTGCATCCCTGAAACTAGGTCTATGAGACATATCATGAAGGCAATGTGGCAGATATCTTAATTACCTTTTTCTCAGAAACGCCTGCATTGCCTGCTTACTCTTTTAGTCAGATAGGACAGCGCTCAGGCTTTGGCAGGGGCTGGGATGGCTACCTGCTGAGTCAATGATCTCCAACTGATAGTTCTCCTGTTTTGGGATATCAAGGGAGCTGCTAATATGGCGATCCTGAGTCAAGGAATTAAAGCAGATCTACTGGTAATTGGACGCTCCAAACAGGATGGTTTGTGGGAGGTGTCTCAGGAGTTGGGAGTTGTTGATGTTGAACAGGGATGTAAAAGATGAAAGTGTGAGGTCCAGATTATTTAACTGATTCCTGGCAATTAAAGGATATGAGGATAAACCAATAAGCACCTACCACATGCTATGAACTGTGATAATAAGCCAATGGACTCTTCAATTATGGGAACTGATAATAGGATATTCTCATTCATATCTTCCATTGATATTAGAAGTATGGTAACACCACCTACTGTATAGCCACAAAGTCAGAGTAAGTCTCCAAATCTATACTGTCAGTAGCAGCCAACTTTTCCCCTTCTCGGAGGGAGACAAATACCCAGAAAAGGCGATAGGTAAGGCTCTCTGCTCATTGTCCCCAAATGCACCCTTTCCGTTCAAAGTGTAGCAAGAGCAAAGCATTTTCCTCGGTAGATCAAGGTACAGGGATCTCATAGGACAACCTGCTACATAATATCCAGATTCTCCAGTCACGACATATTGAGGGTAATGCAATGTTTCTCAGCTTTCGAATATTGGTTAGGCTTGATCGACTTGCACGGCCTCAACGTATCAGCTAGATTATATGGGTACCCTGGCAGCTGGTATCGCTGCAAAACTTGAACAGCTCTCTGCCCTGATTCTTATGGGCTCACTTGGCCACTTACTGATTTACTGGGACACAGAAGTAGATGAAATTCTCTAGTCTGGGCAGGGGGGACCATGCTTATGAGAATGTTTTTATATTGGAGACTGAGCTAGATGGTTAAGTGGATAGCTCACTGGCCCTAGAATCAGGAAAACCTGAGTTCAAATCTGATCTCAGACTTACTAGCTGTGTGACCCTGGGCAAGTCACTTAACCCTGTTTGCTTCGGTTTCTGATCTGTAAAATGAACTGGAGAAGGAAATGGAAAACCACTCCAGTATCTTTGCCAAGAAAACCCCAAATGGGGTAATGGAAAGTGGGATACAACACAGCAGCCCATGTAAGGCAGATGATTATTACAATTAGTCATCTACAGGAAGACAAGAGAATTTGACACATACTGTAACATTAAACATTTCTCATTTTTTGCAGATCCTGGAATGCACCCTCTTGAACAAAAACAAAAAAAACAATTCCTTTCCCTCAAAACACCTATTCTTGGCCTGTGTCAATTCCATATTTCCGAGGATTAAGTTTTCTTCCCTTCTAGCAAAGTAGAGGCCTAGGCAACTGTGGACCTGATAAAACTTGGTTAGCCTTAAAATCAGGGCATCTGACATACCTAGAAGACAAAACAATATTGGTTGGGGAACACTCAGTCTGGAGAAGAAGGGGTTTCCAGAAATGAAAGGAAGAGTTAAGGTGGCAGGAATGATGACGTCTGCATTTATATAGAGCCTATAGTATGTTGGCTGATTCTGGGGAACTAGGAAAGATGATGGCATCAGAAAAGCAACACAAAACATAAAAGTGATGCATCAGTAGTCTAGTAAGCAAGAGCTATCAAGAGTATTGTCACCCTGGGCAAGTCACTTAACCCCAATTGCCTAAAAACAACAAAAAAAATTAAAATAAAATTAAAAAAAGAGTACTGTACACAAATATCAGAGGGGCTGTACGGGATCGGACATCCAAAGTCCATTAAAATAAACAACAACCAGGAGATCAACACAAATTGTGAGAGCAGAGGTAGACTGAGTCAAATGGTCAGGCAAAAGGTATGTAATCAGGAAGTCCACAGGACCTGAGGGAGCGGGAGGGAGAGAATAAAGACCAGGCACCAGAATTGGAATACAACTAAGGAAGCACTTTGATCTACTGAGGAAGTTTCAGATAACTTTTTCTATTCTTCTTACCACAGCGATAACCAATCCTGAGTGAGTTTGGGTAGGAGGCTACAGGATAATGAATTCCACAGCTGGCCTTCGAGAAATGAATAAAGAAGGGTGGAGGAGGCAGAGGCAGTTTGATGACACAATCCCACTGGATAACCTGTGTTCCAGAAGCAGGAACATTCTTTCTCAACAATGCATCATTTTGACCAGATTCCCCCGAGCTCTCAAAAGAAATGTCAGGCTGCTTTTGTTCATCCCTCAAAAGGTCTGGCACAATCTCTGCAGATACTTTCTTCATGTTCAAGTTTTCTTTCAGAATGAGTCTGACTGTTTCCTTATCCAGCTGTAACTCTTCAGTCATTGTTCTAACAGTTAAGCAGCGATTTGAAAGAATCAAATCTCTCACTTTTTCGATATTTTCTTTGGTCCTGTGAGTGATGGACGACCGTTTCATGCATCATCCCCTACATCTTCCCTACCTCCTTTAAACCCTTTATGCCAGTCAAAAACCCTTGCTCTTGATATTACTTCATCCCCATAAGCTTCTTTTAACATGTCAAGTGTCTCACTTGCAGATTTGTTTAACTTCACACAAAATTTGATACTAATCCTTTGCTCTAAATATCGGTCACTCATTTTTATAAGGGACACCTGAAATAATAGTCACTTCTCTATTCACTCGAAGGAAGGAAACAAGCATTTATTAAGTGCTTACTATATGCCTGGCACTGTGCTACAGGTGTCAGCACAATATTAAATGGTCAACTTTGTTAAATTGGCTGTGTGCAGTTGGAATTCAGAACCCTGTAATCCCAGCACTGGAAAGACCTACAGACGGCCTCTAGTCCACCTCTACCCTGAGCAAAAATCTCTACAGAAAGATTTCCCAACACAGATTCACCGTGTATCCAATGGAAGACCTTCAGTGACCAGGCGGAGGGTGAAAGGTTAGGAGAGAAGAGGAATCTCAGTGTGTCCTCAGACCGCCCATAATGCAAGCAGTTCCAGTTTCTTCTTCCCCGCTTAACTTACAGTCACACCCTCCAGATTTCCCTACAACCTCTTCCTCAGTGGGGGTGCCAACCGACCCTCGCAAGCTGTGATAACACCAAGCTGAGTTTGAAATTCCAACATCCAGGCAAGCCCCTGGTTAACTTCTCATGCATTGACAAAATGACAAGAAAGCAAGCCAGCCTCATAGGGAAAGCTTGACAGATGCCTCCAGCGTTTATCTGCCCAACGTTCTCATGCCCGGTAACCTACCAGAAGCTGGAACTAAGTTCCTGGGCCAGGCTCGTGCTCTCTCAATCCACCTGCGGGCTCTTCACCCGAATCACGCTCATACTTAATACCCTCAACCCACGCCCTGGAGCATGCGCATTCGCGGGGGAGGGAAGGCTCCCACAGCAAGGCCTGAATGCATTATGGAAAGGAAGCGGCGAGAGTTGGATTGATGACAACCTTCTGGGCCATTCACGTTTTCCATCTTCAGCTCCCGGGCCCTCGAAGGCCACACAACGCCGGGTGCTTCCCTCCCACTAACCTCCCTCCAACAGAGCCGAGGCTTCTCCTGAAAAAGGTGGGAAAAAATTCGAGGCCCCAAGCAGCACGCAATTGGACCTGCTCTTCAGCTTCCCGCGGCCACGGTTCTGGGGGTGTGTGTGTTCTCAGCTCAGCCATTGGCTCTCTAGCCGCGGGGGGCCGGGACGCGCCGCGAGGGAACGCCCCGCGGGAAGAGCGAGTGCGCAGGTGCGGAGGGCGGGACTCAAATGGGAGGGGCGGGGAAAAGAGAAAGGCTCACGTACCTGTAGCCTGGGTTCGTGCGCTGTCATCAGTGCCGGGGCTCCAGGATTCAGGCAGTGATGTAGGCAATATCCTAGACTCGTTACACTGCCTGGGAAAGGCAACTCGGTTAGTTCATTCCCCTTCTCCGTTGGGGTTTGAGGTTGGAGATTGTTCCCATTATGGTTCAGGTCAAATCAACAAGTGCTTTCTATGTTCTAAGAGCTGGAAATACAAATACAAGCAGAAAGACAGCCCCTGCTTCCGTTCTTTTATAATAATAATAACAATAATAACTAACATTTATATACCACTTATTTTGTGCTAGGTACTGTGATGAGCGCTATATAATTATTATCTTATTTTATCCTCACAGCAACCCTGGGAATTAGGTGCTATTATTATCCCCATTTTACAGATGAGGAAACTGAGGCAGCAGTTAAGTGACTTGACCAAGGTCACACAGCTAGTAAGCATTTGAGGACAAATTTGAACTCAGGTATTCCTTACTCCAGGACTAACACTTTAAGCACTGCTGTCACTCACCTTTCTACTCCAAGCACCCCTTTCCCAAATAAAAACAAAAGAAAAACCCTATCCAATTAAAACTAAAAGAAGAACCCTATTACAAACATGTATAATCAATCAAAACAAGTTTCTACATTGGCTATGCCCCTGCCAAAATTGTCTCATTTTGCATTGAGTCTTTCCTCTCTCTATCAGGGTAGCATGTTTCATCATTAGTCCTATGGAATGAATTGTGATTGCTTTTAGACTAATGAGAGTAAAGACCTTACATTGTAACATGATTCTGAGAAGATGTCAACAGGCATCACCAGACTGTCAGAGGGGTCCATGGCACAAAAAAGGTTAGAAACTACTCATTAGTGTCTTCCTCTTTCCACTCTCCCTTCTCTGAATTTTATTTTTCTCTCACTTGGTCACATATTGTTGGCTGGGAGTGAGAGGTGAGGAAACACTGGGGGTGGGGGGGGAGACAAGGCATAAAAGAAAACTGAAAAGGAGTGGAGGAAGAGAGTGAATGAAAGTGCTGAAGAAGGGGTCATTGAGGAGAAGGTGCAGGAGGAGAATCAGGACTGCAGCTGGAGAGGAATGAAAAGGTGGGTAGACTGGGAGTCCTTCTTAAAATGGAAGTTCTGAGAGGAAATAGCCAATCAGAGGCAGAGTCCTTTGGGACAGTGGGGACTTCCAATGAGTGAAGTCCAGGACTAGAGTGAGGCTTCTGGATGAAGAGGTTCCTGAAAATCTGGGAAGGGAGTCTGGAGTGCAGTTTGGAGTGGAATGGACAATCTGATAGGAGCTCCCTCCATGCCTCTGGGCCCCACTTTTCTCTTGGTGACCACCTACAGTATTAGGGACTAGAAAATTTGCTTGGGATTTGGGGCTTTTGAAGCATCTACATACACACACACATAAACACACACACAAGCTAATATGTGACCAAGCAAGAGAAAAATGCTGAAAAGAGAGAGTGGAAAAAGGGAGGGACTAATGCAATAGTCTCTAGTCATGGACCCCTCAGATAGTCTGGTGATGCCTAAGGACTCCTTCTCAGAAACATGTTTTTAAATGCTTAAAACAAAATGCATAGGATTACAAAGGAAGATAATTACATTAGAATACATTATTAAAATATTTTTAAAAATTTATGGGTACCAGCTTAATAACTCTTCAGAATCTCAGCAAAATAAATACCTGGAATCACTTTGAGGTGAGGTAACTTACTTCAATTCAATTCAATAAACACTTATTAAATACCTATTATGCACCAGGCACTGTGCCAAGCACTGGGATACAATTAAGAAAAAGACAGTCTCTGCCCTCAAGGAGCTTACAATTTAATGGGGGGAGGGGAATATGAAAAAGGAGACCAAAAAAAGGGGCCTGCCTGGGGCACTGGCAGGAGGGGTTCTTGTTTGGTGGAGTTGAAACCAGGTAGGGCAGCAGATGCAGAGCGGAAGGAGCCTTAAAGTCCAGTTTCTGCTCTCCATAAGGGAAGGCACTGAGAGGAGTTTGGTTATGCCACACTCTAGCCCTTCAGGCAGAAGGCAGAGGAAGCTGAAGGAGGTAGTGTCAATCAAAGTTGGAGTTGGCAGCATGGTTAGATTGAAAGAGAACTTGTGTAGAAGTGTAATAATAGCCGACATTTATGTAATGCTTCTGTGGTCACATATAACATTGCCTAAGTTATCTAATTAGGCTATATAATCATAGCTTTAGAGCTGGGAGGATCCTTAGGGACCTTAATCCTACCCTCTCATTTTACAAATGAAGAAATTTGAGGCTCATCCCAGAGGGGTATAGTATCTTCTCCAAGGTTACCCAGGCAGTAAGTGGAAGAGTTAGGATTTGAACCCAGGTCATTAGTTCCAAGTGCTCTTCCCTTGGCATACCATACAACTCTATGAAGGAGACTGGCAGGGATTATTAATTCCATTTTATAGACGAGGAAATGAGACCCAGATCATTTAATTGGCACCAGCTAAATGAGGGCTTTCCTTATCCCCCAAGCTACTAGTCCCTCTCCACTCACCCCCATTTTTTACTTTGTATATATTTTCTATATACTCATAAGATGCATGTATGTAAATACATGCAATAATAGAATGTAAGTTTCTTTAAGGCAAGGACTGTTTGATTTTTGTCTTTGTATCCCAAGTATTTGGCACTTGGTAAGCACTTAATAAATGCTTATTGGTTACACTGTCACATGGGCTCAGTAAGGGCCCCAGGTTTCCTGACTTCAAATCTCATGATTTTTCACTACACTGTAGCTATCCTCCAAGGTTCAATCATTTAAAAGATGTTTATTTGCTTGCTATGTTCTAGGAATAGTGTAACTATCCCTTTTCCACTCTCCATGTTATTTTCCCCTTTAGGCAGTCCCTTATTCCTTTCTTTCTTCCAAAAAAAGAAACTAGACTACAAGCCACAACACTAAGCAGATTGTAGCATCCTCTGCTTTATTTCCAAACTCTTTTTAAAAGTGTTTCTATTAACTTAAACACCAAAAAAAGAGCATTTCCACATACACAGAAGAATACAAAAAAGATTCTGTATTAAGCTGACTCCCCATTTCACACTGCTTGCTCTTAAAAAATGTGTATAACAAATTCTGTACATTACCTCGAAATGGCCCTGCTTCTCTGTGCTGCTTCTCAACATCTTTCTCTTCCTTTTTGCATGTTTTTTTGAATGTTACAATGGTTCTCCATTCCTTTTTTTTTTTTGCATCACTATCGATGACTCCCCTCTTCTAGACCCTTATCTCCAATTAAAAGCCAAGAGAAAGAAAGGGGAAAAATCCCCAAACCTTTGTAATATGTAAGCATAGGCAAGCAAAATTAATCTATCCAGTGGTCGTGTCTGAAACTGTATGCTCTTTCTGTACCTTATTTGTGTTTATCACCTCTTTGTCAGAAACTGGGTAACCCGCTTCATCACAGAGACATGGTTGGTTATTACACTGATTGGAGTTCTTAAGTCTTTCAAAGTTGTTAATCTTTCCAGTATTGCTATCTTTGTATAGATTATTCTGGTTCTGCTCCCTCACTTTACTCTCTCAGTTCATACTACCCACAATTCCCTGGAATGGTCTTTTTTTTTGTCATTTTTTTATGGTACAGCAATATCCCATTACATTCATATACCACAATTTGCTCAGCTATTCCCCTTAACTGACTAAGAGGAAATCCAAGAGGAATCTTCACAGTAGTTCTTTCCCACCTCTCTTCCTTTAATTCTCTCTTCAGGAACAGGAAGTTTGTTTTTCTTGTGACTATTCCTTCTCCAATATTATCTTTTCTCTTACACTTCCCCTCCCCTCACCATCC